GGGAGAGCAGCCGGGAGAGCCGCCGGAGAGCTGGAGGATCAAGCGGCTGTGGGCGGAGAGGGACGCCGGTGGGACATGGGCTCACCCTGCGTGTGTGCCCCACGGTGAGCATGAGGGATGGAGCCGGAGCCGGGCTGCTCTGTGGAGCCGCCAAGTGCACGCCGCTCTGTGGAGCTACGTGTCTTTGCGTTAAGGATTATCCAGCAGAATATAAAACGCTGATAAGCAATGAGTATTTCACCTCTGGTTGTTTTTTTAACATGTGCAGCAGCAGCAGAAGGCTGGAAATGAAAGCACTGATTACAGTACTGATGGGTAACAAATAAATCAGCCTTGCAAATGTCAGAAGAAAAAGGAGAACCCCCCTGAAAATGCACATCGGAGATCTTAAAAGAGAAATCTGAATAAACCTGACACTAATTCCCTCATCCATTACATTTCTTCCGCAGCCACGGCGAGCAGGGATTGCCATTATGGCCTTGTGGGTGTCTGCAATAATCTTCCCTAACAGGTACGTAACTGTGCACATTTCAAGTACAAAACCAAAGTTCTCATATCACTCCCATGAGCCAAACGCATTTGTTTATTTTCATCCTTTTACCACATTTTTCGTGCACAACACTGCAGGCTGAATGGTATAAATTTTGAGGTAGGTGGGGAACCTTGGGTTGAAATAAAGCGCCCGCCTCTGCGGAGATTAGATACAGCTCGGTCTTCCCTGATGGGTGTTCATCTGCCATCTTCAATGTTTGTAGCATTGAAGGCGGCTTAAACAGTGTGTCCATGCTCGGGTAGGACAGAGAGTGCACGTGAGGGGATGGTGACCACCGAGGTAACGTGCAATTTTCGACTGCAAGTGGGGAAGGATCTTTCAGGCCCTGACGGTGGCTGAGCGACAGGGAATATAGCGAATAGTGAAACTGTAAAGCTGCTTCATTCAGGACTGTCTCTGCTGTGGTCAGTATGGGCAGGGGAGTTAAAAACCCTCCTCCTTGGACTTATTCCAAGCGTGAGCATGCCTGAAGGCGAATACTTCATTTCCCATGACGTGCATGAGTGTCACAGAGTGGGAGGAGACAACGCCGCTTCCCTGGGAAATCAGGTGGAGAAGGAAAATGAGCTGGAGAGAGGGAAGAGGTGCTCCACATCCAACATGTGTGGAAAAGATGGAGGGAGATCCATATTTGTATTTCCACAGGAAAATACAAACATGGAGTTTCTGGTGCTGGATTAGATGAATTGGGAAGAGGGCAGCTGCCGGTGAGCAGGTCCCAGCATCTCCTCCCCGGCCGCAGGGGATGTGCCGATGCAGCCGGGTGGCTCTGCATCTCCCTAAATCTGGGGAGACAGGAGAGGTGGAACTTACAGACTCTTCTTTGAGCAGGAAAACCAGACAGAAAACTATAGAAGTTGACCAGGATAGGAAATACTTATACAAGAGAAAATATTTCCTGTTATTAAAAATGAGATT